ACAGGCTGCTGTTTTAGGTGCTGAGAAACCCGCCCTGCCGTCTTCTGCTTGAAGCACTAATGACGGGTTCAGCGGGGAGGGGTCCCCATGGCCCCTGGCTCGCAGACACCTCCTGGAGGAGGGTCTGGGGGTGGGGGGGACCCTGCGGGCACCAGGGGCGGGTGACACATTGGCCCAGCAGAGCAGGGAGCCCCGGCGGGCCGTGGGGCGGGCAGGGCGCCGGGCTGCTGCCAGGGTCGGGCCCCCGCGCCAGTCACAGCCCGCAGAGGCCCACGGCCCCACGCGGCCCCACGCTGCCCGGTGTGGCCTCTGTGACAGTGAGCGGCGGCTTTGAACATTAGTCCTCAGCTCATCAGCACCAATGGAATGTTGCGTGATTTGCTTCTAAAATGTTTCCCTCTGAATTATGTTGCTTTTCTTCTAATAACATAAAGGAACAATATGAAACTACTGAGCTTATGCTTTTGAGCATTTACTTTTTCGACTTTATTAAGCGATAACTGATTCATTTAATCATGCCACAAGCTGACTGAAATACATTGCAACAAAGTACTTCAGTGTAGGAGTGGACCGATTTCGAGGTCAATGGAGGAGAACATCGTTGTGTACAGTGAGAACATCGAGCATGTAGTGGTGTTAGCACAGGGCCTACAGAATTTTTCCTTCCCAATTACATACAGATATTTAAAAATCAGCCTTGCAGACACCAACAGAGAGACCCAGCCTGCAGCCTGGGTGCGGAGACGATATCAGAACAATCAGAAGGAAAAAGGAGAATCGGAGAAGGTGAAGACAGTGGAGAGGGCAGCGGAGGGCTGAGAGCTGAGGTCAACATGACAGCGAAGTGGATTCCCCGGAATGTCTAATGTCTAGAAGTCAACGGAAAATGACACAAAATTAAGACGGAATTCAAAAGTCAGTAAGCTATGAAGTTAGAATAGTTAAAGCTGGGCATCAGTGGAGTGGAATGTACGAGAAACTGAGCGGAAGTGCCAAGTCGTCGCAGTCATTAAAGTTCACGCATAAACTTAGGTGAAAAGAGACTTGCCCGCGGGGCGGGAGCCTGCCGGGCGCCGCTCAGCCGGTGCTGCCTTCCTCTCAGCTCGGACGGGGGTGCCCCGGGCCCGCAAGGCCGCGTCCCCACAACCCCCGCGGCCCCGCACGGCCGGAGCTCGCGGCCGCAGGTGTGGGAGCCGGAAGCATCGGACCGGCACGAGCATGAGGCGGAAGCGGGGCGCCGGGGGCCCCTCCCCAGCTGGCACGGGAGCGGATGGAAAAGACCCGATGCGGAATGGCAGCGAAACGTGCAACGCTCGAGACCGCCACGACCGTCCCCAGCGGGGGATGCCCGGGCCGCCTCAGCGCCTCCACGGCCCCCTGGCTGGGCATCGGCGTGGGTGTGGATCCTGCACCGAGCGGCGCGGGGGGCCTCACGTGGCACACACCGGTTAGCCCCTCGCAGCCCCACGTGCCGAGAGCTCAGACATCAGCGCTGCTCTTTTCACCAAACAGTTTGCCGAGGGCCAACTTCATGTCCCGGTTCCTCAGGCTGTAGATGACGGGGTTCAGGCTGGGGGGCAGCAGCGAGTACAGCGCCGAGATAAAGAGGTTCAGGGACGACGGGGACTTCGAAGCTGAACCCAAATACGCGATAAAGCCCGAGGAGAGGAACAGGGCCACCACCGAGAGGTGGGGCAGGCAGGTGGAGAAGGTCTTGGCCCGGCCCTGGGCCGACGGGATCCTCAGGACGGCGGCGAAGATCTGAGCGTAGGACACAGCCATTAACAGGAAGCACACGAGCGAGAAACCGCAGCTGCCCGCGATGAAGGCGAACTCCAGCCTCTGCTCCCCGGGACAGGCCAGCGCCAGCAGCGAGGGGATGTCGCAGAAGAACTGGTGCACCACGCTGGGCCCGCAGAAGCGGACGGACAGGGTCCCCGCCGCGTGCAGCGAGCCGTAGACGCAGCCGCCGAGCCAGGAGGCCGCGGCCATGCGCACGCAGGCGGCCCTGCTCATGAGGACGCTGTAGTGCAGCGGGCGGCAGATGGCGGCGTGGCGGTCGTAGGACATCACCAGCAGCAGCGCGAACTCCGCGCCCGCGAAGGCGATCACCAGGAAGACCTGCGCGGCGCAGCCCCGGAAGGAGATGGCGTGGCTGCCGGTCAGGGCGCCGGCGACGGACTTGGGGACGGTGGCCGAGATGAAGCAGATGTCCACCAGCGACAGGTTCCTGAGGAAGAAGTACATGGGCGTCTGCAGGCGCAGGTCCGCGGAGGTGAGGGCCACGATGAGCAGGTTGCCCGTGACGGCCGCCAGGTACGTCAGGAGGAAGACGCCGGCACAGAGCCCCTGCAGCGCCCGGTCCTCGGGGAGCCCCAGCAGCAGGAACTCCGTGACGAGGGTCACGTTGGGCACGCTGTCACCCATGGCGGGGCGCGTCTCGGGACGTCAGACAGCCGGCTCGCGCAGAGAGCCTCTGTTGATCACCAGGCCGACCCCCCGCCACACACGGGGTCAAGCTCAGCTCAGCTCCTCCGGGCACTGCGCGACGTCTGGAAGGGCCCGAGGGCCCCGAGTCGGGCTGTGATGGGGGAGCCTGGGCTTCTGCATAGGGCAGAGAAATGGCACTACCCGAGTCTGCCGGGAGGGAATTTCCTGACGTGGTGCGATATGTGACGGTACAGGGGAAGTTTGAGTGGAACAGAGCAGTGAAGTCTCCGTCAGAGCTGGAAGCGCCCTTAGTTCATGTGAGCTCAGCCTGGGCGACTGGGCCTGCAGGTTCGGCTTCTGTCTCCCGCTGCCAACCTGGTCACGGCACAGGGGAGAGGGCGCAGGGCTGGGCACGTCCCCTCTGAGCAAGGCTCTTCCACGAGGCCCGGGGGCCTGGACACGAGTCACAGCATGGAGGCCACAGCCTGGCACAGAGAACTGTTCGGCCGTGGGGAGATGCCACAGGCCCCCAGGACCCTACGCCCGCGCACTGGCCCTCAACCCTCTGTGGGAGGGACCTGCACCTCAGCCCATGGCAGCGTGGTCTCTGGCGGGGAAGGCCAAGGACACAGCTCCCTCTCTGCCTGCGGGCTTGTGAGTGTGGGAGCCGGGGCAGCTCCCAGGGGTCAGGAAACACACTGACCTGCTGGACTGGCTTCCCTGTCCAGGGTCTATCTGCAGACCTGGCGTCTTTATCCTGAGGAGAGGCTAACCGGGGACCTAGGTGTGCATCCAGAAGTGTGGACGTGGCTGTCACGCTGCTGCACGAAGGGATCTGGGCTCGGCCTCTGCGTGGCCAGGCGCAGGCTCGAAGGAGGCTTATATGGCCGAGCCCGGGTGTGGGCGCCCCAGAGACCAATTAGCGCAGCGCTGATGAGCTGAGTGTGTTGGACCAGGTGCTGAGCGGCACCACAGCCTGTGCGGGAGGCCAGGAGCGGCCCGGCGTGCCTGACTTTCCACCCGACAGACGTCTGGCGTGGGACCTGATGGGCCAGTGACCAGACTGGACTGGCCCTGGGGGGGTCTTGGGTCAGGACTGGTGTCAGGGGTGACCGCCATGCCCTCTGCCCTGGCTGTCCTCTCTGTCCTAGCTGGCAGGACCGACCCACACACATGGAGGGAGAGAAAGGACGGTGTGGCCTTACTCTGCGTCGGTTCCTCATTTCTCATCCAGGGAGACAGTCTCTGACTTTCAGTGTGTGTGACCGCGTTTTCCTGTGTTTTCACAGCATATAAATAGACAAATGTGCAAATGTATGAAAACCCCAGTGTGCAGACACATAATTACATCTGTCCACTACCAGAACAGATGTGGATTGAGATGTCTCCCCCCCACACACAATCTCTCTCACACATTCCCACATACATGCACACACACAACGCTCAAACTCTCACACCTGCCTATTTTTCACTGAGTTCCAGATTCTATGCCAATGGCACCACAGACGTACAACTGTCGTTGCTAAAGGGCTGTATCTCAGTGTGGAGTAAAACTGCTTTACACACCCTCTTGATTTTTAAAAATTGGCAGTTATTTGTGAAGGATACATTTTTGTGGCTACAACCCAATGTTTTGTTCAATAAAGTTTTGGGGATAATTAGCTGGAAAAGTAGCTTCGACCTCCCCTCCAGATGTGGGTGGGGGGAGGCAGGCCCCCAGCAGCGCTGTGGTGACACAAAGGTTTTCCACGTGGAGTTTTTCTTATTTCAACTTACTTTTGCTGAAACTACCTCTCTGCTATGCCCTTGTCAGCCGTGCCATCCCCTGGGGTGCTGAGCTCACGTCACCTGGAGGAGATCTCAGGTCCCGCAGTGCCCGGGCTCCGGGCCTGATGAGAACCCACCACCTACAATACAGGTGAGCGTGGAAACACTGAACCAGACATCAAAGGTGTACAGCACTTCACGAGAAGTCATCAGAATATGAAGGAAAAGCCAAAGGCCCAGCCGTGAGACCTGAGGTGCCGGTGGGCGGGAGTCCGGGCCCCCCACACCCTTGTGGCCGTCAGGTCAGAGGTCGGTCTCCGCCCACCAGGCTCCGGCAGACACCTGCCCCTTTCCTGACAAAATCCTGTACGAGATAGGCAGAGGGGCCGTCTGTGCCAGGCACTGCCAGTGTGCGCACACGCTCGCCGCCAGCACCCACGCACCGCTGTGAGCACACTCGCCCCGTGACGAGTCACCATGAACACTCACGAACACACTCACCACCACGCGCTCTCGGTACGAGCACACACTCAGGAACATACTCTGCGATTTGAGCGCAGTCAGCCACCACGAACAGTCACCCCACACTCAGTGGGGAGCTGCTGGATGGTGCCCAGCGAGGCGAGACAGTCCTTCTTTTAAAAGAAACCTTCAAAACCGTTTACTGAGTCACTAAGTGGCTTCCATCGTGGTTTCCATCACAGAACCAAGGGGCCCCTCCCCTCAGGCCTCTTTGCACAACCCTGGGGTGCCCCCACCTCTGCCTGCCCCTGCCGTCCCACCAAGCTCCTGGGACTTGGGCCCCCTCCGCGGCCGCCCAGAGCCCGCTCTGGCTGCGCTGGGGGCTCCCTGCCCGGCGCCGGCGGCCCGAGGCTACTCCCGGCTCACGTGGGGCCCCCGCTGGGCAAGTGGGGCTGCGGTCTCCCAGGAGATGGGGGCTGGCGGGGAGCACTCCGGGGGGACGGTGGCCCTGGCGGGTCACACCGCTGCTGCTCCTCCCGGGTTGCTGGGCTCCAAGTGCTGGCGGTGAGCCGGTTACTCCTGGCGCCCCATTTCCCAGCAGCCCTGCCTGTCAGCAGGGGTGGGGGCGCCCAGGGACCCCGTGGGCATCCAGCTTGACCCCCAGCGTGTGCTGGGGGCCACAGGGGGCCAGCCTGAGCCCCAAACAGGCGGACAGTGCACAAACCAGCAGGAGCCAAGGGCCAGGTAGAGAATAAACTGCTACCACACCCCGGCCTGAGGCCAGAGCCACCGACAACCCCAACATGCACCAAGGCCCGAGGCAGAGCCAGCAAGGCCAGTGCCCAGCGCGGGGACAGTCACCCCACCACCTGCAAGACCCAGGGACAGCCCCAAAGGTCAGCTTACACAGGAATAGCTCACTGGGTGGCCACACCCACAGAGCAACAGAGGGTCACTGCTGGTTACCAGAGTCTGGACAGCACTGGCCAGTGCTATGGCCACTGCTGGCCGAGGCAGTGTCAGACACCCATGTTCACAGCTTAGGTGTTGGGCCACACACACCAGCAAGCAGCTCTGAGATGCAGGCCACAGGCGCAGGACACAGCTCCTCTCCCCACTGGAGGACACAGCGGTGTCTTCCCTTCAGAGGCTGGACCCGTTTCCTCAGAGGTTTCTGTCAGCAGCTCTCTCCCGGGGAAGTCCTCAACTTCTTCTCTGCCCCAGACCATAATTACCACAAACTCTGGCTTATATACTCTCAGGGAGCCCCACCCACCAGTCTGATTGGGCCGTTTTTTCAATCCTGCGGCTGATTGGACCATTTACCCATCAGCCCATAGCACCTGATTGGTCCATTCCACAACCCCAGAAGTGCGCTGTTACATTAAAGGGCCTTGAGGTGCAGCTGCCACAAGGGACTGTGGTAAGAGGCTGGGTCTTGGTAACAACAGTCTGATTGGGCCATTTAGCACCAATCAGCTCATAGCTGGCATGTGATTGGTCCACTCCA